GTAATATATTATTATATATATAATTATATTTTTTTATTTCGAGCTAAAAGGAGTCGAACACGAGAGAACAAAGAGTTGTTCGTGTTCGGCTCGTTCCCTTAACGAACACTTAACGAATGAGTCGAACACGAGCTACTTAACAAGCTGTTCGCGAATAACGAGCTTTTTTGACAACTCTACAGAGGAGAAAGGGGCAAGCGAGAGCATAGAGAGCGAACGCCGGGGTAGAAAAAGGAAAAAAAATTTATCGTGATTAAATGCAGGCTACAGGGTCGAACCCGCGGACCACGTTTAATTAAATTTTCCAAAAATGCATTAAAACCGCGATTTCCAAACTGCCATAACTAGTGTTTCCCCACCACACCGCTCCTTTTAAGCTACGCCAAACCTGCCCTAAGTGCTCCATCTGACTTTTTAGAGAGTAGGAGGATTCTGAAATGTTCTGGGTAGAATCCGGTTGAACCGTGTTAGACTCTGATAACGTAGTAAGACCCTTGATAGCAGAGGATTTGGCCGAGGATTTGTATGTCATTTTTCTGTTCCAACGTTTGTTACGAGTGTGGTTGTTTTTGTGAAAGTAATCACAAGTGAGGTGAACCGCCTTAAAGAGTTGAACACTATTAGAGACAACAACAAACGATTCAACTGAAGTGGTGAAAATACCGAGCACGACAAGTCTCTAACTCTCTTCTTAGCGGATCTCGGTGAAAGAAGCGCAAGCGGAAGAAAGAGGATCCCAACGAAGAATACAGCCTCAAACTTCATCAAGGTATTTGTTGAGGTCTGTCAGAAAATGGAAAATGCAATCATTTTGTACAATTTTTTGGAAGAGAGATAGGTCGACCTGAGAGTCCCAACTGTAGTCGTAATATAGGTCGCATTCCATCAATAGTGTAACGAGGTTATTGTACTATTGGGTCACAGTTTTTTATCTTTATTTTGCCTCTCGGATCTTCTTAGAAACCTCAGAGTTCGCTGGAGTCTCCTACATTCGAGTGGGCATCACAGACTGCCGTCTAGAGGGTACTAGAGAAAGGGAAAAACATATATGAATGATCAATCGACAGTTCCATGGAGTTGACCAACAACGACATGACCATAAGCTTCTCCATTTCCCAAGCTCCACTTGTTGGATCAATCTTTGGAGTTTCACAGATCATGCTTGTGAGGTGACTGAATTTCCCGCATCCTTTGATGAATAAGAACACCGCTTTGGGCTATTGGAGAAAGTTATTGTTGTTCAGTTTGTAAATTGTGATCAAGAAGTTCATGTTGGTTTTTGTTACTCCAGTTTGAACGGAGATCGGAGTCGAACCTCTGGTGAAATCAAAAAGACTTTCTTAGGATGGCTCAGTGCTGGAGGAGTCTGCCATAATTTCGACTAAGCCAAAAGAAATTTGATCGGGATTCTGAGACATCACTGGATTTCAGCTGTAGGTCACTGGTTGTCGGATACAAAAAAATTGGTAATCCAGACAACTGCAGGAGAGAGACCAGCCGCCGGGGAAAACAACAGGGAGGACCTACAGGATCGGCTAGTGGGAGGTTCTGCACTTGCGAGAAGGAGGCCGACAATTGCCAAGGAGGCTGACGGATGTAGAGAATGACAACTGCAAACTTAAGCTTGAAGAGCTGACGGCTAGCAATTCCTTTTGAAGACTCTGCAGGGAAGGCCGTCGGTGGCTGGGATCTAGGGTTAGATCCCAGCTCTGATACTATGTTTAAGTATTGGAGTAATGCAATATATCTTATTGATAGAAAGAGGGGTATATAATCCTATTACAAGGAGCACTCATAAGGAAAGAAATTAAAATATAATAAAGGGGAATAGGAAAGAAATAAAAACAGATTGAAAAAAAATAGGAAAACAAATAAAAGAAAATATGCATCTTAATAATGGCTAGGATAGCTAGGATAGCCGTTGTTATTTTAATATTTTAATTATCTTATTATATATGCCTTAAGGTAGGCCCCATTTTATGCCACAAACAATCTTGGCATCTCTTTTTTCTACAGTGAGATGTAATCCATAAGGCATGTCTCTAATTTCACAATTTTAAATAACACTATGAAAGATATATCATCCTTGCTTTTACTTGCCAAGTTTACCTTGCTTGTTTGTTATTCACTGTTATTTCATCTGTTTAAATCGCTACCACACTCTGCTTACTTAACCACATGATACCAGAAATTTGAATACAGATTGTGGCGAATCAATTCTCTCGGGTTGCTAAAAGTGTGAGATGCTCTTTCTTTGGTAACATTGCACTTGGAATTGACATTTCCTTGCCAGAGCTTAGACAGAACTATGATATAGTAAGCATTCCAATTTGTGTGGAACAATAGATGAAGATTGACCAGATTTTCTGATTATAACTTGTCTTTCTGTATTTGATTATATATTAGACTGCTGCCTGCTTGCAAACAGGTTGTTCTTTGTTATGGTGCTGAAAGTGACAGATCTCTTGGAATTCCTGGAGAAGTATGTCAATTCTAGATCAGATATGTAATTTCATCACATTCCTTGTTGTTTATCAGAAGATTAGATCTTATTTTTCTTGGGCTTGTATTTGGAATTTTAGAATTCCGTAGATTCTCGCTCATGCTTAATCTTGTGGTTTTTTTTTTTTTTTGGTTAAAATTGGACATGTGTTTAGTTTTCACTGTAAGAGTTACTACAGGTCATGTAGGCATTGATGTGACTCCTATACATACAAATATATTTTGAGAATTAGAACCGTTTTAACAAGCTAAAATTAGGCTTAATACTTATCATTTGATGTAGTTACTTTCATTGTAACTTATTATTTGTTTGTAGGATTTGTTAGGTATGGCGGAAGGATAAATTGGCGAATGATTATTATATAGGAGCAGTTAGAGTGATATGCATTAAAGATGAGCTAATTGAAAATGGACTTTAAGATTTGTGCTTGTATTAACGATAAAAACTATACTAATTAAATGAGTATGCTATACTACTGTCAAAAAATTAGAAGGGAGAACAAGTTGACTAGCAGTAAAATGGTTAAAGGCTCTCCAAAAATATTTACGGTTTATCACCTCAGCTTGCACTCAACATGAATAGATGAAAAGTGAGGAATCATAAAGCCAATCTCAATTTGTTGGGAAAGGGTGATGATGATGAGTATTTGGTGGGGTGGCTGAATAGGTTGGGAAGGTTGGCATGTGCAATGCTTATTTGCTTCCACTGTTGCTTGGATGTCTCAGGCTTGTATCCTGCAACTAATATAAGCCTTTCCTTTACCCTTACAATCAGTGGAAGCCTCATGCTTTAGCTATGCTCTTTTGAATTGAATTATGTGTTTTTTTTTTAGATGTCATTCCTCATCAAATCTTGTATCAAAAGCTTAATGATTTTATTTTTTTGGGTGCCTGTCTTTATTACTCTAGGAGTTGAATGGCATATACTCTGCCAGAGAGTTTGTTTGGTGGTATAATGGGCATCCCGACTGCTTCGATTTGGCGCCAGATTTAAAGATCACTGATACAGCTGTTATCCTGGGTCTGGTATGTTCTTGCAATCTTTTTAAGATGAAAAGTTATTGATTGGGTAATGTGAATTATTATACCTCCATGAAGTTCTTTTATTATATTGAAGATCTTAGTTTGCAACATAGCAGTCAATAATTTGAAACAGTAGTATGTAAACTTTATCATAAGTGCTTTTCGAGCAACATAATATGTTAATTTCAATTTGAAAAAACTTGCATGAAACCGAAAGTGGAGGGGGTGTGCTTAATAGTTAATACTTCTCATTTTTAAACGTAGTAGTTATTTAGAAACAATTCTATAACTATTAAATTTTGTTTTGATACCATATTTTTATGTTGATACGGTATAAATCTTCGCCACAAGCATCAAAATTAGCTTTGCATTTATTGATGTATCTTAGTTTATTGTTATTTGTCTTGAACGTAAATTCTTGCTATTTTCTCATGGAATGAATTGCTTTTGAAGCGAGCTACCAACCCAACTGTTTTGAAACATCTTATATTTTTCTAGGGTAATGTTGCTCTTGATGTTGCTCGTATACTTCTGCGTCCAATTAGTGAATTAGCAAAAACAGACATTTCAGAACAGGCCTTAGCTTCTCTTCAGGACAGTACCATAAGGTTTGTCATTTTCAGAATATCACAAGATGGAATGTCTACATGATGAAACCATACTAAAACTATATATGACATTAGAAAGGTTTACTTGGTAGCAAGGCGTGGCCCTGCACAAGCAGCTTGTACGGCAAAGGAATTGCGAGAAATTCTTGGTATATTCAAAATCTCAACTTTATTTTTATGAGATGTTATATGATATGCTATAATATGCTAAGATGATGGATTTCATTGGACTGTCTTCTTTCCTGGTTAGTTTATATCAAACTTGCTTCAAAGCTTAAGAGTTATTTTCAGGTATGAAGAATCTACACATCAAGATTCAGCAAGCTGACGTAGATATTTCTCCTTCTGATGAGGTATGTGATATTATGCTTTGATAATGAAACCACATCCGTGAATCTTCTCATGATACCTCGGTATTGTCATCCGAATATGTAATCCAACCCGCTTATTTAATCATGAGACCATTTTGTATTCCTGTTCTGCATATTTTTACTGCTATGAGATAGGCTAGCTATTTTCCAACAATTTAATTTGTCAATTTGAACTTACAGATGGATTTCAAATTTTACGTGAGCATTGGTTTTTATCTTCTATTTACTTTGCTTTTGGGACTTTCTAAATTAGGAATATCATTCACATAGTGAAGTTATTGATCCAGTAAAAATTAGTTGGGCTAATTTGTATTAGTCTCAATTTTATGAATGTTTGCAACTAGGTGGCTTTTTTTTTGTAATAACCTTGTGGGTGCCAGCTAGTTTAGTTGATAAAGACTTTGAAAATTATTGTCGAAGTTCTAGGATTAAATTTCATCTACATCAAATTTGGGCTTTGACAATCAATTTACCTACAAAAAAAAAAAAAAACCTTCAAGTCTTGGTAAACCCAATGCTTGGTGCAACATGGGATAGTTATCGTGTTAACATGTTTGCCACTAGCTTATGTGGACTCAATGTTGAAGTTGTAGCCAAAATTATATTTAGTAATTTCTTTATAAATTGTGTTTTGTGTTTTGTAATATCAAAAAGAAAAAAAATAAATAAAACAAAGAAAGAGTTGATGAGTTGGGGAAAAAGAGTTAATGAGTTGGGACCGTTTTATGCCATTTGACAAACCATTGCGATCAATAGAGTGTAAATACCATCTTTTATGTCACGGCCTATTTTCTTTTCAGGTTTAGTTTAATATGAGATATAATTGGGGTGAATAATTCTGTCAAACATAACTTTTAATAAAATCTTTTTAAATTTTACTTATTAGGATCAAGTGAGTAGAAAATTTGTTTGTCTTGATCATCATAAAATATGTACTATACCTAAAATTTTCTTAACACGCATGATAATCATTAATATGGAAATGTGTGTAATTTAAATCATTAAAATGAATTATAAAACTTCTAATAAACTTTATTGATAATTAGTACATATCAAAAGCTTTTAATTTAATAATGTACATCTCGTATGATACATCTAAATTTGTACACTCAAAATTCTTTAAGTAAAAAATTGTGTTATCTCACTAAGACCTAAATTTTTTCCTTGTATGAAATAATATTCATCATAAGATTTGATGATCGACCCCACTTAGTGGAATAAAGGCTCGTTGTTGTTGTTGTTCTTGTTGTATAAAATTTGATGAACTAAAAGCTCAGTGAAAAATAATTTTAATATAAGATTCAAACTGCAATAATGAGAAATGTGTCAGGTGATCTGATACGCTCCGGAACCAAAATCAGCGAACAAACAATAACGAAAAGACAATAGATAGGTGGAAAAAAACTCAAACGAGGGTTGCTTTTACGAAAATCAAAGGAAAACAAGCAAGATAGAATGATCTACTTTTCGAGAGATAGATCGTCTCTCTCACAATCCTAGAATTTGCTAGAAACACCACAATAAGAAAAGAAAGCAGCAACCAACAAAACATGCATAAAAAAACAAGTCCTATTTTATTCCCCTTAATTTAATCCTCCCACAACACCTCAAACATTCTCCCTAAACTCCAATTTCTCCTTATGGCATACGTGATTAATTCTCTCGTGGACCCCCTCCGGTTCGTTGGCTTCTTCAGTCGTTGGATCCTCCGGAGGTTGAGCTGTTCGACTCTTGGATGAGACCGACGAGCCGTTGTCCTGTTGCTCTCCCGATCCCACCCGGACCAATTGAGTTTCAGGTGTAACAATACCCCCACCCCCCCAAAAGAAGCACCTTGTCCTCAAGATGAAATGACGGGAATTGCCTTCGGATCACCTATAAGTTCCCATGTTGCTTCATACTCGGGCAGACTACTTAATCAGTACCTCCTTTTTTTCCCGCTTCTCGGCGCACTCCTTCGACCTCTAAGGGTTCCAAGCTCACTTCCATATTCTCTGTCATCATCAGGGGTAGTGAAAACAAGGGTGTATGATCTCCGATTGCACGTCTCAGTTGTAAAACATGGAAGAGTAGATGGAATGCTGACGATGACCATCCCTCCTAAGTGTTTTGTCTCCTAAGGTCTGAAATATTGTGGTGAAAGTTCTCGTTCCTCTGTTTGTCCAATGTTTTCTACCTGTAGGGTCTCAGCTTCAAGTAATTCATGTCCCCTGGTTCGAACCACACCTTTTTCCTCTGTCTATCAACATTCCTTTTCATGATTTGTTGAGCTCTCAGTAGATGCTTCTTGAGCTCTACCAATATTCTGTCCCTCTCCTCCAAGTTCTAGTCGACATTTGACACCGGTGTAGTACTATGCCCATTATGTATCAGGTGGGGTGGATCCCGCCCATACAAAATCTTGAATGCAGTGGTTTTCACTACAACATGGTATGAAATATTATACTAGTATTCGACCCACACAATTCACTTGATTTACAGCTTCGGCCCATTCGATACTAAGCATTGTAGGTATGTCACCTCACTCCTATTGACCGCCTCCATCAGGTTGTCGGTCCGAGGATGATATGTTGTGCTTTTCTTGAGAGTTATTCCTTGTAACTTGAACAACTCCTTTTAGAATTAGCTGAGGAACACCTTGACCTATCGAATACAATCGATTACGACACTCCGTGCAAATGAACCGCTATTGTATTAACGCCGTAGCAACTGAACCACTTCTTGTATTAACGCCATAGCGACTAAAACCGCAGTGTAGGGATGTCGTAATGGCACTCCGTGCAAATGAACCACTATTGTATTAACACCGTAGCGACTGAACCACTTCTTGTATTAACGCCGTAGCGACTAAAACCGCAGTGTAGGGATGTCGTAATGGAATGAAATGTACATACTTGCTCAAACAATCCACTACCACCAGATTCACCGTAAACCCTTCTGATCTTGGCAACTTGTTTATGAAATTCAGTGTCACTTCTTCTCAAGCATTCTCTTGTAATGCTAAGGGATGTAACAACCCGCTTAGCACCATTGCCAAGTATTTGCATCACTGACACACATCGCTCTGCACCACCATGTCTTCTACGTCTTTGCGCATACCCACCCAATAAAACTTTTTTGATAAATGATTGTATGTCCTTTTCATCCCGGAATGTCCCCCAATTGCACTATCGTGAAACTTCTGCAAGAGTTTGGAGATGTACTTTGATGCCCTTGGTAAATGAACCGCCCTTGGTAGAGTAGTTGCTGACCCCCTCAAAGCATATTCCAGATGATTGTCCGGATCTTGTAGCAACTCAGCCTTTATCTTTCTCAATCATTCATCTTGTTGGCTCTCTTACCTCAGTGCTTCCCAATCGAGGACTATAGGGACCGATAAGGCTGTCAACTGGGGCTCCTCCTTCCTCAACAGGGCATCCACGGTTTTATTCCTACAACTTGGATAGCCACCTCTGATGCTCCTCAGTCACCATCCTCTGCTTCAACAGATACTTCAATCTCCTTCGATCTACTCTGACAAAAAAATGTCGCCCCAAAAGATAGGGTCACCACTTCTGAATAGCCAAGATAATGTCCATCAACTCCCGCCCGTACATTGACTTGAGCCTTACCCTAGCGGTGAACACCTGGTTGAAGTAAGCAATCGGCCACTGATCCTGCATGAGTACTGCTCCCAATCCATATCCTGATGCATCTGTCTCTATCACAAATGGTCTACTAAATCCGGCAGTGCTAATATTGGTACAATGGTCATGGCTCTTTTCAAATGTTCGAAGGCCCGTGTCAAGGCTTCCCTCTGCTTCAAATTGTCATTTTTCAGCTGCTCTATCAGTGGTCATGCTATTTTGTCGTTACCACTTCACAAATTTTTGGTAGTGTCCAGTAAGGCCTAGGAATCCCCTCAACTCCTTCAAGCTCCTATGTAAAGGCTAGTTCATCATAGCCTCAATCTTGGATGGGTCTGCTGCTACTCTTACTCTAGTCACCATAAGTGGAAAGTACTCCATTTGTAGCTGTGCAAAGGAACACTTTTTCAAATTGGCGTACCACTAGTGCTCACTTAACTTCTCCAGGACTACCCTTAGGTGCTCCAAATGCTCGTTCTCTGTATGATTGTAGAGCAGAATGTCATTGAAGAAGACCATAAAAAGCAACCTGAGGTAAGGTTGAAAAACCTTATTCATGAGGGATTGAAATGTGTCAAGGTCAATCGACATTACCAAGAAATCGTAATGTCTTTCATTTGTCTTAAACATTGTCTTGTGCACATCCGTTGGATTCGTCATGATCTGGTGGTACCCTGACTTAAGATCGTTTCTTGAGAAAATGGCTGCCCCATAAAGCTCATCTGACAACTCATAAATCACAATAATAGGAAACTTATCCAACACTATCTCCTTGTTTAATGTCCGGTAGCTCACGCAAAACTTCCAGCTATCATTTTTTTTCTTCACCAACAGGACTGAACTAGAGTAGGGGCTCACATTATGTCTGATGATCCTAACCTCTAGCGTCTCTCAGATCAAGTTCTCTATCTCATGCTTATGAATCTGAGAATACCAGTATGGTCTGATACTGATAAGGGCGACGCCTTCCTTTAATGTAATAGCGTACTCGTGCTCCCTTGGGAGTGGTAACCCACTAGGCTGCTGAAAGATGTTTGTAAATGCTATAGGAGCTATTGGACCTTTTTGGGGAAATTTGCCAACTCGTGATCTCAGACCTCCTTAATGCTCTGTAATTCCACTAAGTAGTCCATCCCTGCTCCCCATATGAACTTGACCATGGTTTTGAGCGATATCATGGTTTTGCTTAAGCTAGCATCACTTTCCTACCCTTCGCTTGGAACTCCATCATTAGGGATTTCTAGTCCACCTTCATCTCCTCAAGGTTCTGTTGCCACTTCATCCCCAGAATCATATATGTGCTGCCCAAGTCCAAGGGAAGGAAGTGTAGGCCATGTAATATCATAACCAACCCATTACAAATTCCCCAACTTTTCTTCACCTTTCTTGTCCCCATCATGACGCTAAAACTCCTTGTAGTCACCAACTCCAATCCTAATTGATCCACGACCTGATTTGAGATAAAGTTATGTGACCCCACCATTCAACAACACCACAATCGGTTGTTCCCTGACCCGTCCTCTCACTTTCACGGTGTGTTTCGGAGTAAATCCCAGCATTGAATTAAGGGACACCTCCGCTACATCCAAGTGCAGATGCTCCTACACCACATCTTCCTCCGATTCCTCACCCTCTGCCTCTTCTTAAACTAAAAGGATTTGAAGGGCGCGCTCCTTGAAATGGTAGCCTGGAGCATATTTCTCGTCACAATGGTAACATAATTCTTTTGCTCTTTTATTTTGTACTTTTGCCGGTGAGGCGTATTGGTTCTCGTATTTTTCTCCTTCGGCGCCTCTTTCTGAAATGACACTGTCTGGGTCCTCTATGTTGTGGTTGTCAAAGCGCTCTTATAGAATCCTCGTGTTGATACTTTTGCTAGACTTTTTCACATGTTTTTTGTTCTCCATCATTTGTGCGAGCTCCTTCATTTATCTCAATCCACTCGATCTCAATGGTCGGATGGTTGCTCGTATGTCGGGCTGAACAGGCCTTGTAAGAAGTTTTCTTTCAATCCCGCTGCAGAAATACCTCTCAACTTCTCTGACAAGAGCTTGAACTTCTTGTATTCCGTAATTGTTCCCTTCTGATTCAGAGCATAAAATTACTCGTGTAGGTTTCCTTCCCTGAAAAACTCCAACAAGCAATCCTTAAACTCCTCCCACAAGTGCATCATCAGATACATTGCCTCCATCCATTAAAGCCAAGTAGAGCTTTTCTCTCCAAACATAATTCTGCCGCCATGAGCTTTTCTTCTCCAGTTAACACATTGACTATAAAGTATCGCTCAACTCGATACACCCACCTGTGTGAATCTTCTGCTTCGAAGATTGGCATCTTCAATTTTCTGACTCTTGCATCTTCACCCCAACTTCTTCTTCCTCCAATATTTCCCCCCATGTGTCTAGGGTGAAACTCCCTCCTCTGGTCATAGCCATACCCCACTCACGATTTCCTCCTTCCTCCTTCCTCCATACTCTTCCGAGCCCCTTGTTCCATCCCTCCAATTTTTGGCCCAGTCCCTTCCATCGGAAGTCTCCACTACCTCTCATTTCAGAGTCATAAGGGGGACGCTATTAGTGGTAGATGATGTCCTCCTCATTGTGCTCTCGTTCATTCTCCTTCCCTTTGACCTGATCAACCCTTGGTTAGGGTCTGCAACTTGAATGGTTGACATGGCCTTAGACTCCTTCTCCATAAGCTTCCTCATCATCTCTCGCATTTCTCCAATGCTCTCGAATCCGTCTTCCATTCTATGGAAGAAAATCAGTCCTCATTGGTGGAGAACATCTCTTCCATTCCCAATATGATTTTCCCAACTTTTAATTTGTCTTCTAGAACCAAATTTAGCGAGCAAACAACGATGAAATGACAATAGATAGGTGGAAAAAACTCGAACGAGGGCTGCTCTTACTAAAATCAAAGGAAAATAAGCAAGATACAATGATGATTTACTTTTTGAGAGGTAGATCGTCTCTCTTACAACCCTAGACGTTGCTAGGAACACCACAAGAAGAGCAGAATGCAGCAGCCAATAAAACATGCATAAAAATAATAAACCCTAAGTTACTCCCCTAACATAATCCTCCCGCAGTACTTCAAACTTTGCCCTCAAGCTCCAACTTATCCTCTGGGTCATGGACTCTTCCTATTCGTTGGCTTCTTCAGTCATTGGATCCTCCAGATGATGAGCCATTCGGCTCTTGGATGAGACGGGCGGGCCGCTTGCCTGTTGTTGGACCGGTCTTGCCTGGACTTGTTGAGTAGGGCTGTAAACGAGTCGAGCTTGAGCGAGCGGAATGGTTGACATGGCCTTAGACTCCTCCATAAGCTTCCTCATCATCTCTCGCGTTTCTCCAATGCTCTCGAATCCGTCTTCCATTCTATGGAAGAAAATCAGTCCTCATTGGTGGAGAACATCTCTTCCATTCCCAATATGATTTTCCCAACTTTTAATTTGTCTTCTATAACCAAATTTAGCGAGCAAACAACGATGAAATGACAATAGATAGGTGGAAAAAACTCGAACGAGGGCTGCTCTTACTAAAATCAAAGGAAAATAAGCAAGATACAATGATGATTTACTTTTTGAGAGGTAGATCGTCTCTCTTACAACCCTAGACGTTGCTAGGAACACCACAAGAAGAGCAGAATGCAGCAGCCAATAAAACATGCATAAAAATAATAAACCCTAAGTTACTCCCCTAACATAATCCTCCCGCAGTACTTCAAACTTTGCCCTCAAGCTCCAACTTATCCTCTGGGTCATGGACTCTTCCTATTCGTTGGCTTCTTCAGTCATTTGATCCTCCAGATGATGAGCCATTCGGCTCTTGGATGAGACGGGCGGGCCGCTTGCCTGTTGTTGGACCGGTCTTGCCTGGACTTGTTGAGTAGGGCTGTAAACGAGTCGAGCTTGAGCGAGCCAGGCTTGGCTCGTGTTCGGCTCGTTCGAAATAGCTCGTGTTCGAAATCGGCTCGTGTTCGAAATCAGCTCGTGAACAGTGTGTTCGTGTTCGACTCGATTTAAATATTCGTGTTCGTGTTCGGCTCGTGTTCAGCTCGAAATTGGCTTGTTAAACTAAAATTGAGAAAAATAGATGTAAAGTATGGGATTCAAACTTGGATCAAATATATACAAAAGAAGACACTAACCACATTGTCACATGAGGTGTTATGATTTAAACTTAGACATAAATATATATAATATATTATTATATAAATAATATATGTAATATATTGTTATATAAAAAGTTATATAATTTTTTTTCGAGCCATTTCAAGCCGAACACGAGCTAACAAACTGTTGTTCGTGTTCGACTCGTTTACATTTCGAGCTTAAAAATTTGTTCGTGTTCGGATTGTTAGGCTTAACGAACGTGCCGAACACGAGTTGCTTAACGAGCCGAGCACGAGCTGTTCACGAACAACGAACCAAATTGACAATGCTAGTTGTAACGAATTTGCACATTTACACTAATAAATTTAACATGAGTATTAATTTTCATACTTATGGTTATTTTAGTGTAGAAGATTTAAATCAGTATATGCTTTGATGTATAATTATAAAAAAGAAGCATAAATATTTGCAAGAAAATGAAGTGTAACTTTTGAGTGTCAAATTATTTAATGCACTTAATTAGTCAGATACTGGTGTCAAATTAGTAGCTTCATATTCCTTTTGTATTCTTATATATAGTATTCATAATCTTAGAAGTGTCAGATAATATATGTATGGGCTTTGACATATTTATATAATTTGTTTGTTATCTAGCCTATTAGTAATGATAATCAATGGTAGTATTTGAACTTAATTCAACGTAAAAGTTATCAACAGCCTGTCGATCAAAGGTTGGACCATCTCAACTTTTCAGTGTCGAGAATCGAAAACCTTTTTAGCTTCTCGTTAATATTTTTCTTTATTCTTGTGCAGGTCATCATCATCATTTACCATCCTGTCCACGATATCATACCTTTAAAATACTTAGCATTTTGTATTAACATTCACCGAAGTTAAAGCATTATACGTAAAAGCCAACGTCTGTGTACTTAATTATGCACATATTTTATTAAACAACATTAAGAGTTTGTAAACAAAAACATCATGAAATTATTTGAGTGATTGCATAAAATACAGTAATAGGTTTGTTGGTATCAATTATCTTCAAGTGCTGCTGATGACATGCCCAATTGAAAGAAAACCTACAAACATGTGTGTTTGTGTGACAATTCAATATGGTTTCATGAATAATTTGCTTCCTATTTTAGATTTCGAGTATCACATCATAGTTATAGAATCCTTCTCAAAATAGATTTTCTGTTCTCTATCTTTCAGAAGTCTTGTTCTTTATAAATAACCTAATAACAGTCTTTTTTTTTTCAAATTATAACAATTTTGTAATTAAGAACAAAATTTCTACTCAAAATTACCTCAGAATTATATTTTTACCTTGAAAGGATTTCTTCTTGTTCAAGCCTTCAAGTTTATTTACCTTAACCCAACTCAATTCATGAAAAGGAATACAAGAAATAAGATTCTTGCTCTAGCTTCTTTCCTCATTTCTTCATTTTCTTCTTTCTTTCTTTCTTCTTCTTCTTCTTCAATATTTTCCTTAATGACTTGCTCCTTTAGGTTCTCAACTTCGGCTTGTGGATGGTTTACATAAATTAGGGAATATATGAATTGGTAATACTTGAGGCTTAAGCATACATATACAAGTAATATATTTGGAATAATATTAAATTTCTTGAGTGTCACATTCTGATTGGGAGCTTAGAATTTCCAACCCGGGAACAGGCGTCTGGATGTTTAAAGTACACAAGTTATGCATACATAGGACAAACCATAATAACAGCCAATCATAAATAACTATTAAACCACAAAGTATGTGAAACATCATCCAAACAAACATTTAAAGATATTCAATGTATCGCAATACTAAGAAATAAAAGAAACATAGACATAATACTATATGATATCTATTTTTAGTTGATCCATTTTTCTCATAGGCATACTCCCTCATGTTAGTCATTTTAATTCAGTATAGCTTTTACTAGAAGAAACATTTAAACAATAGAATAAATTTAAAGATAAATTAACGAATAATTACAATTCTACTATATACTAAGCATTTATGTGTATACTCAATTATTTATGTAGTGCAAAATGATAAAACAGTTAAATTTTCCATTTTATTAAAATTGAGTATTGGAACTTTGATTTTACTAATTATAGGAAGAATTGAAGAACCACCGCATCCAGAAACGAGTTTATGAGTTAATCTCTAAAGCAGCTGCTTCTCCACATTCTCATTCTCCTACAGAGCAAAGGGAACTCCACTTTGTGTTCTTCAGGAAGCCTGATAGTTTCTTGCCTTCAGAGAATGGCTGCACAGTTGGTGCTGTACGCCTTGAAAGAACGAGTTTGAAAGGTAAACTGTGAAATTTAATTTATAAAGGCTATTTCTTATAATTATTAACATATTGTTGATTTCATAGAAAATGGCACTTTTGGCAAACGGTTAGCGGTTGGTACAGGGGAATTCGAAGATATAACCTGCGGGTAAATGATACACATTCTTGTCTAACTAGTCAGCCGTAGAATCTTTAGCTTTCCTAATTTGCATTATTATTTGCTAGATTATCAAAACAAGTTAATTTCTAATTTTGTATGTAGACTTGTACTGAAAAGCATAGGTTACAAGTCTTTACCAATTGATGGGCTGCCTTTTGATTTTCATAAAGGTAAGTTCTCTCCCATGTACCTATTGACTTCTTGCACTTAATGTATGAGAAATTCCACTTCCTCAATTGGGTGTCAAATACGGGTGTGCGCTCATCTTCGCTATTAATTGTGGTCAAAATTCCTTAAAAAAAAAATCTTATGCTGGGGAAGATTTGAGCATCTTTTTTAAGTAATTTCGGTCATATAACTTCACTGTGATTTATTAATTGATAAAATTGTTCTATTTTCTTTAAAAAGAAGGCTATTTATGTTATCTAATTATGGTTTGGGCAGGTGTGGTCCCTAATGTAAAGGGCAGAGTTCTGAAAGGCTATCAGACAGAACATGATCAGGCTGTGGAGCATGGCTTATATGTTGCTGGGTGGCTGAAAAGAGGACCTATAGGGATTATAGCTACTAATCTTTACTGTGCTGAGGAAACTGTAAGCATGCTTATCAAATTCAATTACCTGAGGGAAAAATAAATAAATAAAATATTTAACTAGACAACTTATAACTATATAAATCCCAAGTTTGATCCCAATTTCACTGAGAAGTTGCGGAACCTGGTTGGAAATCGTCAGTTTTTTCGCCTTGAAAAGAGGAGAAATAATGTTCATAAAAAAATTATTGATAAGCTGTTTATTTGTGCAGTTCTCCTGACTATTAATAGCGAGGGAGGATGACAAAAAAATCAATAAAGACAAATGAATGGATTATATAATCGTTTATTGTTCCTTTGTTTTGTATGCTCACATGACAAAAATCCACTAGGATGGAAGAACTATTATAATGGATGCTTTGCCATGCACAGAGGGTTGCGCGTCACCGCTATTGCGAGTCTCAAACCCTTTGCACACTTATTTCATACATCAATAGAGTGTATACGAGACTATCTCATGCTTGTGCAGTCAACTTCACTTCGATCCTATGGTTTTTCGCAAGATGGTAATCGAGTGAAGTGTATGAGAGAATCATAAACTTCTGAAGTAGCCAAACAATTTGAAGTGGCAAAGAAACTTCATAACTTATAATGTTAAATCCCCGGTCGGGAAAGAGTGGAGTGGTTTTCCCATCTAATATAAATAAGTGACCATTACATGTAGATCTCCATAGATCTCTGACTTATCTCCTCTTATATTCCCTTGACATTGACATATAATTAATATTATCTCTATAGATTTCTGACTTGTCTCCTAAGATAATTCACCACTAGGCAGATTCGGCATTGATGCTAGTTAGGTTGATCCAAAACTTAGGAAGCATATTAGTCTGTTTGATTGAATCGACGACTTGAATTTGATGAACGAGGGATGATATTCATCCCACGCCCAGTGCTTTGGCCGTTCATATTCGTCAGCTCGTCAATCCTTGCTTCAAACTGTTTAGCTGTGAGTCTCAGGAGTAGGCCTTCGCGCATTACCCATACCTTGACACTGAGTTTGGTATAACCACTTTTTGGCCATACAAATAAAGATGCTTATATTAGTAAAAAGAAAAAAAAAAAGGATTTTGATAACGCCAGATTTCTGAGAAATTATTGGAGCCTTTTTTTTTCTATTTTAAATGATAATAATTCTGTATTAAAATTGCAGGTGGCAAGCATCTCTGAAGATGTGGAGAAGGGCTTGCTTGATGGTGATTCTGGTGCCCCAAAGCCAGGAAGAAAAGGGCTCCTCCAGCTGCTTGAAAACAAGAGCATTGCCTTTGTGCCTTTCAGTGGCTGGGAAAAGATAGATGCAAAGGAGAAGATGGTGGGCCAGCAGAGGAATAAGCCAAGAGAGAAAATAACTACCTGGGAGGAGCTGTTGAAAGCTTCAAATTGAGTAATAACATAATGCTGATTTTAGAATTTTATTTTATTTTTATTAATGTAAGCAATTATGGTTTTTATTATTTGAAAGTTGGTTTTTTGGTCTTATTTATTAATATAATTATAATCATTTATTTCGTATTGGGTAGATTTTATTTAGTTTTATGGCACATTTTATTTTTGTTCTAATTTATCTCTATTATTTGGGGCATTTTACTTTTACATTTATACCACTCAAAGTTTTCATATCAATTCAAAAATACCACCATTTAACTTGAAAAAAAAAATGAAATATGCCTTTACATGCATAGGTGATAGGTAAGGTAGCGTGTATGTAAAAACTAGAGTTTTAGGTGTTAGATATGTATATACATAGGAATTGAGTGGTATGTATGTAAATTTATCTTATTATTTTTTACATAATTTCACCGGAAATTTTCTTGTTACTATGGGGTTAATTGTGTAGAGGTATTGTGAGCATATTATAATTTAAAGGGTGTTTGATATGAAGTAAACTAAATTTAAAGTATTTATGTAAAGCCAAAGGCTAGCTAACTAACTTTTAATATGGAATTCATCTGAATTCCATACGTGATCTTTGTGACATTCTTATAGCCTTTGTTGTCTTGTGTGATGTGTCATATATGCTTTTGATCTCCTTGCATTATGTGTGCTTGAGCACACCATTCTCCCATCCTTTGGGAAAAATATTGTGTGTTTGGGTGGATGTCCGGATGACTGTCTGGAAGAGGTTATATCTTTCGGGCGTGTGATCACCGCACGTTAGTTCTCTTCTCTGATTCTCTTTACTCTCGTTGTTTCACCCATTTTGTTGGCACTGGTGATCACATTATCATTGTGCAAACCCTATTTCCATTCTTTAAAATAATATTATTATAAATAACTTACATGCATACACATAAATCCTCTGTATTTATGTATTGACATCTTTTTTTTTTTACTTTTATACTGCTTTGTCAATGCTTGAAAAATATTTCATTTTCAAAAGCTAGTTATAGTGATATTTTTTTATGTGATATGAACGATTTGAATATTACAAATGAGATTTATTTTACTTTCAATAAAATGAAAAAAAAATGCAATTGTTTAATAAGCAATAAATAATTTTGAATATTTTAAATCATTATATTTAAGGTACTTTAACAATATATTATAATTTATTCATTGTCTTGCTTTCAAGAAGTAAGATAATGGATGAACTAAAATATGTACATAAAATTATGTGTCAGTGTTGATTTTGAGGAGATCTATCGGTCTATAAAAAAAGAGTACGGCGAAGGAGGACCCGCTGACAGAAGACTATGAGACTCACTTATCTGATCGATTAAAGTTATCTGAGTTGAAATGCGCAAAGCCAAAGCTAACTGAGCTACATGGAAATTCAAAAAACAACCAAATGATCCGAGCACAAAATATCAACCAAAAACGATATGAAGTGGCAATTGAACCATGAAAAAACCAATCCGAGGGAAGATTTGGTTCCATAGCATCTCCAATCAACTTAGAGACTCCCGGAGGCTCCCCTTCAGTGAGCAAGGATCAACAGTCTGGCAATATCAACTAGCCAACATAAATCGACCAAACGCAGCCGACCGAGCAGATCGCAGTTGATCGAGTTGATCTTGCCTACTTGAAGTCAATTCAGACTAGCCGATGGAACAAAAAAACTATCAAATGACATGCTTATTTATGTAAATTACTAGAAATACCCCAGTACAAATTCTATTAAATCATAAGCAAATATGTAACACCATTATATTAAATTGTCTATCTTATAAATATGAAGATCATTTTATGAATAAGAGGCAACATATTACTGTTCGTTCTACTCATATTTACGCTCTATTCCTTGAGCGTGATTCACATACAAATCAAGATGCAATCGATACAATAACGTAGGTGCCTTATTTTTTCGGAATATTTACATACATATCACTTAAAATCCTATGCATTTACACATCTAATACCTAAATTTTAATTTTTACATCCATGCCACCTTGCTTGAGTATGAAAATTTTTATTTCACATTTTAAAAATTAAAATGATCATAATTTTGATTAAATATAAAAGATTTGGGTGGCATAAATATTAAAAAAAAAATTTAAAAGGTGTTAGATATGTATATAAACATAGGGATTGTGTATACATATAAAAGCTCCTTTTTTTTTTCTTCCCATATAAATACCTAAATAAATAACTCAAGACTTCTAAAATTTCTTTAAAATAATGTTTTTTCAAGTGATTTGTTTTTGTTCATCTTCCATTAAATTCACGGTACTTCTGACAAGCATCATGCCCCTATGAATTTACTCTCTGCATCATGTAATAACCAATATTTGTCACATAAAAAAATGAATAGCTTAATTCCTATGCATTTACTGATTTATCACCTAAACTTTACCTATTACAAATATGTCATACGAAATATATGGGTTCTAAAAAGAAATGCAAAAGGTAAGGTTTAGGTGTTAGATATGTAAATACATAAGAAATGGGTAGTTTGTATATAAATACCCCCATTAATTTACATCTACAGGTATGTGAAGGCCTCAACAACTCCACCACAATGACAATTTTTTGTGTATATAACTCTGAAGATACGAATAAAGTTCAGATGCAATAAAATATTTTTGCCTGGACAAAGCTAACTATATCAATATAATGAGGGGAAAAAAGGGGATAACTACGGTGTGATTTCTAAGAAGAATGAAAATACAAAAACAAGAAAAATATTTCATAGATTGCTGTTATATAACAACAACATTCTTCAATTGGGAGAAAAGAATAAAAATTAAACTTATTCCCTGGGTGCTTTGGTTTCAGCTGATCCGTGTCTCTGGATTGCAACTACTGGCCCGTTGCATCGTGCACACCGATACGAGCTAACGGACGAGCATCGAGTCCGAAGGCAATAGTAGCAATACCTGTAACAGAAGATATATGATGGTGGTAGAAATGTCAATAATGAACCCAACATTATCTATCGGTTTCAAACCTGACAAAAAATTTGGGTTGTGGTCGGGTTTAGGTTAGTTCAAGTGACTCAAAAAAGAATGGCTCAACTCGTATTGTGTTATGTTTAAGTTAACATGAAAATAATGACTTAAAATAATCTGCTTCTTCTTTTTATGATTTATTTTTCCATTAAAAAATCATATTAAATCATATTTTGTTGTTTTACTTTTGACCAAGTTGAGAAGTTGTAGTCAAATTAATTAAGCATGTCCGTTTAAGTATTTTCCGTGTCATGCGGGATCAGGTTTAGGTGTAGCGGATCGGTCTGAAATTTTTGACCTGTTTACTAAATGAGTTGTGTTTGGGTTTTGATTATATGTGTTTGATTATTTTTGGATAGGATCCAAACTCAAAAAGTTAACTGGAATCCACGCTTTGTAATTTCTAATGAAGACCAAAATATAAAATTTTCTTAGATTCTAAGAGCAAAAATCATAAAATATAGCATGCACTCATTAGACAGAACCAGTTTAAAGGATAAAAATAACAGAGAATTGTTCAAATCAATATGGTTATCCCAAAGAACGGTATTGTGCCAAAATATCAACCCTTAAAAACCGTCACAATGAGGGTGACCAGAAGAAGATTAAAAGCAAGCGGTTCACAAAAACTTCAACCGTTAAAGGCAAAGTTTAGGTGTTCGATATGTAAATACATGGGAATTAAGTGGTATATATGTAAATGTAGGAAAATTGCTTGGTATATATATGAATATTTCTTATAGAAATTATCATCACCTGTGTTGGCAAGGAAGAGCCACAAATGGAATGGTGGGATTTGAATGGCATATTGGGCATTCTGATTCATTGCTGGAAGATCCAGATGATTTATCTTTGGAGAAAGGGAGAAGAAATTTTTTAATTGAAGATGAGTTTAAAAGGGGAAGCAGCAAAAGCAGCATCTCCTGCAAAAAAAATCAGATTAAATTGTTAATATCGCTAACAAGCAAGTTAAGATTCACATAATACTGCTAATGCATTCCCAAACAGGCATCAATGATCAGCAATATTTATTATGTAAATAGCACGCAACAATTATGGTAAACGCTTATTCATTATTTAACCACCAAGCAATCAGAAGGAAAAAAAAAACCATTTATTTCTCCATTATTTATCTTCTTCTTTGGTGTGTGTGTGTGTGTGTGTAACTCTTAGGTGATCAAATCCTTAAAAGATACAAACATTTTGTTCAACGTGTGTGTGTGTGTGTAACTCTTAGGCGATCAAATCCTTAAAAGATACAAACATTTTGTTCAAAGTGATGGTAAGTGATGGTGATATAGATGGATAGATGGCGATGTTATTAGTAGAATTCAAGTTGGTTGGTTGAAGTGGAGGAATGTATCCGGCCCATTGTGTGATAGAAAAGTACCGTTTAGACTTGAAGGAAAATTTTATAAGATGGTGGTGAGACTTGCAATCTATGAAGCATGAACAAACATGATACGACACAAACACACGGCATAATTGAAAAAAATAGGATACGACGCGTCATGAATACGTTTTTATATTTAATTAATTATTAATATAACAAATACAAATTTCCATTATTCTTTATTAAAAAATAGCATCACACATTATACAAAAAAAAAACATCATAAATTGAATTTATATTATAAAATCTCATGGTTATGAAAATTAATTTTTAAATTAGATAAAACATGTTTAAAAAAAACATCCAGCTTATAACCCAACTTATCTATTAAAAATAAAAAAATCCTACGATTATAAAGAGGGCTAATGCTCGGCTTTAACGAATAATTGACGCCCCTTTAATGCTCGATTTTGACAAATGTTAGAGGGAGCTTCAACAAGACGACGGATGAGGCGATTTAGACTATGAGGTATGATTAAGGCTATATATATATTTATAATTCCGTATCTCATTTTCTCAAAATTGTGTTAAGTTCACGTCTGATGCAGTGTTGAGGTGTAACCCGAACGTGTTCAAGCCTGAAAAAAATTCAGACATAAATTTATAATGTCAAAGAAGTGTTGGGGTGTGTCGAACAAGTGTTAGTGTCTAATACATGTCCGACACTGATGCAAAACATTTTTAGAAGTGTCGATGTAACATAGCCTGCAATGCTCTATGGTGCAGAATGTTGGCCTTTAAAAGAGAAGCATAAAACAAAGTTTAGTGTTGCTGAGATGAAAATGCTTAGGTGTGTGATTGGCTTCACACTTAAGAGTTAAAATGCGAAATGAATATCTTCGTGATAAGATTAGTGTAGTTTCACTGGGGGACAAAATTAGAGAGGGTCGTCGTAGATGGTCTGGCCACATTAAACATCAACCATCTGATGATACGGTTAGGAGAGTAGATGTTTTAGATTTGACTTATGTTAAGAAAGGTAAGGTAGACGTAAAAAGAATTGGGTATATTGTATAAAAAATAATCTTAATCTATTGCAATTAAATGAAAATATGATACCCAATAGGACGCAATGGAGAAAAAAATTTGTTGTTGTTTTTGTTTTTGTTGTGTGTGTGCGTGCGCGCGTAATTGAATAGGTCAAAATGAATATAATACACCCATGACATTAAAATAAGCACTCAACTTTTAGTTGCAAAGGTTAAGGACCAATATGTGGAGGGCCCGAAAATGAGTTCTCATAGGATCAGAAGGCCTTAGGTGAACCCTTCGTGACTCGGAAACGCGAACATTGCAATTCACATATACACCGCTGTTAACCTCATTTTTTGATGAGGTCTTCACCTCTCTCCTTAGAGCATAGGGTCTAGCTTTAGGCTTCCCTTGTTTGACCCTCCTAGAGGACTAGTATGAAACTCACACCCTTACACCCTTTAGAAAATTCGAGCCATTCGAGCCACCTCGTCACTCTTTCGAGTCTCGTATGGGCGGCCTCAAATTCTCGATATTTCATTGAGTTGATGATAACCGACACATGAGACTCGAGTGGAGTTCCTACATTAATAGGAGCAGCCCCTAGGGAACCCCTTTGCGACCCGAATGCTCGATAACGCCGCATTTTGCACACGCATCGCACCCCGCACGATTTTTAACTTATATGACTCGCCCATTGGAGAACTCATCCGGACGACCCCGGATGACAAAACAGACCACACGGATGCGTCTGGGACGTCGATTTTAGCTAAAAGGACGCTCTTATCGTTATGGTTTCTCGCACAAGCAATTAACACGAATTTCAATACACATTTTTTTATATAGCGGTACGCGGGCCCAAGCTCAACCCAAGTTCGACTTGGGTTCAATTCGGATTCAATTCGGGTTATTCAGACTGGACTCGGGTTGAACACGGGCTAGACACCAGCTCAGTTGAATTTGAAATTTAAATTTCAAAATTCAAACAAATTATTTAAATTTTGTCTTAATTAAAAATATTCAGGTGTTAATGCTTTCCAATTGAACCTCCCCTACATTTGGAAATACATTTGGAAATCATTTACATTTGGAAATCATTTATTTTCCCACCAATTGATTCGAGTAACGGCTCCTCTCCCGCTGGCCTATTTCTTTCTCGCGCACGAGAGCCTTGACTTCCTGCTCTCACTCGACCGAAGACCCCCTGTCCTGCTCGTCTTCCTCCTCTGCCTCTCCCGAGCTCCTCTCTCCAGCTCGCTTCCGCTCAGCTCCCCCGAACGAAGCTCCTGCTCGCCAACCTTCTCCCGCTCGCCTTCTTCCTCTCCCGAGACTTCTCTGCTCGATCCCGCTCGACAGGAAGAGACGAAGTGCTCGACCCTTTGTTGCGCCGAAGACTCTCGCCTCACCCGCTCCTCTCACGATCGAAGACCCCCACTCGCATGCTCCTCACTCTCACCCACCCTCGGCGGCTCCCTGCTCGCGTGCAACGGAGTCTTCCCTGCTCTCGACAAATTCTGCTCAGCACGCCTGCTCGCTTCAGCCTCCCTGCATGATTTAATTCAAATCTCATGGTGATTATTTCTGCTGTTGTTGAATCCGTACCTTAAACCATGGATTTTGCAAATCTGAGTAGGGTTGATGAGGATTTTTTTTTCACCCACTGTTACGAAATGTTTAGAGTACTGTAGAATTTAATTTTGAAAGAAATTGTCTGGTTGTCAGAAAAAAAAATGCATAGCTATTTAATTGAAATCTACTTTTCTTGTGTGAATCATTTCACAAGGTCATCCCCTCTTCACAGATTATAGGATCATGTTATACTGAAAGCCATTCGTTGCATTCTTGCTTTCACCGGCAGGCTCAAAGTTTTCCTTTTGTGATGTTCTTGAGTTTCTGATTGGCACTTTGCTTTTGTGAAAATTGTCATTTTGAAAATTGCTAACTCTGATTCCTCCATTTTTGCCTCCTGTGGGACATTGATTCAGCCGTTTTACAGTGTTTTAAAACCTGCTGATGTTTATGATGGGGTACAAAATATCTGTCATATTGAGTCATCTTCTAAAGAAGGTCTTGATTGTTATTCTGTTTAAGATGTAAAAATTGAATTAGCGAGTTTGCTCAGACTATTATTTCATCTCAAGGATATGAATACCATAATAAATCGTTTCAATTCAGAAGAATTATCTTTTTTGTTGTTGAGCGGCAATAGTGCAACCGAAAGTCAGATTGATCTAGAGATGTTTCCATCCAATGCATTAGATAGAGTCGCTTTTGGCCACATATGACCGCTGTTTAAAATTGAATATTTACTTCTTGGGGGCTGCTCTTGCTTAATATTGTCTACTGCTTTACTGTTTTAGGACTGTTTTGGGGTGTGGCAGCTTGCTAACTTCAGCCTGGAGTCATAGGAAGCTATAGGACCACTACCCAGTGCTCCTAGCCGCTGCTTGGTATCGTAGAAGCGCTGTAGGCTGCTGTCTAGGGCTCCAAAGCCGTTGTTTGGAGTATAGGAGCGCTCTCCAAAGCCGCTGTTTGGAGTATAAGAGCGTTATAGGTTGTTGTCCAAGGTTCCAAAGTCGCTGTTTGGGTTCCCTGTAGCTTAAAAAAAGGGATAGTAAATAAATAAATAGATTTATAATAAATCCTATCTCTATCCAATTTTACAGAAGTAACGCGCCTTTCCAAAAAAAAAACATCTTATCGCAAGCTTTTTCTTCTTTCATTGGCTCTCCTCGAACAGACGCGAAAAAAAGATCCCGCTCATACACGCGACGGACGGGCCTCCCTCCTTCGGATTCGTGAACACGTCGAATCCTTCCTCTTCGTCAACGACAGCGCCGACGCCGTCGCCGCCGACCTGCATCGTTCCTCCTGCCGCCAGCCAGCCCTTCCATTTTCTACTTTTTATGCTTTTCTGCTTCGTTTCTGATCGGCCAAGTTTGTCCCATCGTCGGTTCTCCTTACCGGCGTGCTTACCCCTAGTCGAAACTCCTCCTTAGCCGAGTAGCACCTCCAGTCGAGCTTCCTCGCCGGAACCGCCGACCACCACCGTCGTCTACTTCCTTTTCTTTTAGTCGGTCAACCTTGCCGGTTTTCCTAAATCCCACCAGATTTTACGTTGTCTGCGTCGTGTTTTTGCTGGAGTAAAATAGTGAGGAAAAGCTTCAATTTTTTTTGGGCTTTACCTCCACATTTCCTTCACTCTCGGCGCTCACCACCGACAAGCTAACATCCATCATCTCGCCGCCTCACTTTTCCGGCGACCATACACCTCGCCAGACCACCACGCGTTGTTGGACATCAAGCATCGACGTCGTTCAAAAGGATACGAGAGACTTCTACCTCATATGCAAGCTCCCGCCAAACTTCTTTAGGCTTCGTGCAAACCATGCGATGGTATAACATTTTTTCCCCTTCGCATTTTACATCCTAGCCGGCCTTAAGTTGTAGGTGTGATAGGCGTGTGGTTCGATCGCCCACACGGGGTGTGTGCGCCGGCGTAAGTCGGCGCAGCGACTCCCCTATGTGATTGATCAATTGTTTTCCTAGAGGTGACCT